TCTCATAGAAAACATTTCTGCTAAAATAATGTCGCGTGATTTTATTTCACGAGACTTTGAAATTCGCTGAGAATCATAAAGTATGAAAATCATATCGTTGGATGCTTCGAGAGCGGCAAACCATCTTTCACGTATCCTTCTTTCCTATATAAATGATCGATTTCGACCGCTCGTTGTCATGATTTCTTTCTTCTAGAAAGAATATATATATATATATATATATATCGATATCTCTTCCAGCACGAGTGACTTCTGAAAATATTCGACCCTCTTTCACAATCCTCTCGCCTCTTCCTTTCTTCTATACCAATAGGCTATTCACGTCTTTCACAGAGTTGCCTTCGGGGTGGATAACCCGAACGCAACTATGTAAGGCCTATGTAAGGCACACACTCGAGAGTCTTCCGAAGAGCCCGCTATTTCTGCTCACGTGAAAGGCGATATATCTTCATCATTTTTTCATACATAAAAATCCAAGAATATCTAACTTAAATAATATCTAAAAGACAAATTAAATAAGTTAACAAAGTTAAAAACTGTATCGGAAATCTCAAAATTATAAAGCTGCTATATTAGAAAATGATTTTCATTTTTTAGCAATTTTTATTATACATGTAATAGTTTGACATAATCTCTATCAATTTATTAATATTAATAAATTAATATATTACCGTTTTCACACATTATAAAATTGTCATAATATTTAAGTAAATCATATATAATAGAAAAATTACACATTTTGTGTGATCTATTATTTATTGTATATTGTAATGTTAAAATATAATAATATGTTATATCGCATTATGATGTAAGTTAGAGAGATGTACAGTCCGAAACACGCACTTTCTACAATCTTTCTATAGAAACTCTGATTCCTGACAGAGATGTCCCTTACGGCGGCTCCGAGAAATACTTCGCAACCTTTTTGCTCATCTTAACATTCTCCGCGTGGGTCTTTTCGCCCTGGACCGCACATGCGGCCTCTGGAGCCCAGATCCTTTTGTGTTCTCGCCATACCTTCTTCTCTCTCTCTCTCACACTCTCTCTTTTGCTTCTCTTCTCTTCTCATTCTTCCCTCTTTATACCCCTCTGTTATTTTTTCTCTTATCCTCGACATACGAGATCTGCCAAAAGAGACTTCACTTTTTTTTTAACAAACAAACCATGCGAACAAATAAATGTCACGAGCCGCTCGAGACACATTACCACTGCAAAGCTAAACACCGCTTTGCTCTTTTTCCACGTTGCTAATTTACGTTTGCTCGTTATTACCACGTGCGAAAATGGATCTTAGTGCCTTCGGCGTGCTTTTTCTTCACATTACAGCATTTCTAAAACTACAAAGTAAATTTTTCAGATTGCCGCGTTGTCACAAAACTAGTAAATTATTTCATTAATTTTCATAAAAAGACTAACTATCTATAATATGCAATCTCCAAATGTATGCATGTAATTGTATTTATTAAATTTTAATCAAAAATTTAATTCTTTATTCTTTAACTATTAAATAAACTTAAATTTAGTGAAACGATATATAAGGAGTTTTCTTGCGAAAAGATCAGGCATAAAGTTAAAGCAAAACAAATTAAAAGAATGAAAAACGACGATTTAATTCCCCGTATCCGAAGAATGCTCGATTGTCTTTGATCTCGATTTGGGACCGGATACGCTCATTACGAGACGCTTCTTTTCCCCGTCGTTCTTTCATCTCAAAACGAACGATCAACAGCAACAAGTGCATTCACACGCAGATAACAAATACTAATAAGTGGCAAATACGCCAGACTCGTATTATGAGACTCATTCACGAAGCCGATAATAGCAGAAGCATTACATGAATCGTTCGACGCGAGTGATACGCTTTTTATCGCACAATGCGAATATGCATTCATTTACAGACGCAGGTGTTGGTTGCAACTGCACACTGCGACGTTTATCTAATTTCCTCTGTGCCGAAGGATTTAATACTGATTAAACAATTTCTATTTTTAGCTTCGCTGCATTATATATACTAGGAACTACCATGTCTCTTTATTTTTAACGAGATGTGCGATGTTACAATGAGCAAAAAAATATGAGATATATAAACGATAAAATAGTAATTAAAGAGAGAGAAAGAACAGAGAGCGGGAGAAGAAATTAGATATAAAATTATTTCAACACTGAAAACAGCAAGAAAATGTTTATTTGAAAATAAATTACAATATTATATTATTTTACACCATAACACATTTGTTGTCTTGTATTATTAATTATATAATTAATTAATTTGTTTATTTTTTATAATATTATATTTTATTGTGAGTTAAACGAAGACGATAATTTGTTTTATTATTTCTTTTCGTTTTAAGCTTCATAAGAATTTTAAATGACACTTTCGAATCAACGGATTCTTAGATATAAAGAATGAATGCTATAGAAAAAAAGTATCATTACTTCATCGTTACATCATCGCTTGCGTCAAGCTTTGATTACCGAAATAAACACCTCCTACACTATCATCAGCCCATCCTGACCGGAACAATTAAATGTTCTCCTTCTTCCCCGTTAGTTCTTAACGCTCAACTCAACCGCGAAGCCGGCACAATCCCTAAAGTTAATGCACAACTCACAGTGTAGATCGTGGTATACGTTGAGCCCTAAAGTCGCTTAGCGTATTCAGAGTAAACATACCGAATAAATATCAAAGTATATATCTTCGTGTATTTCAAGAAAAGTAAATATAGCTTATCTTACAGTTTGCTCGAAGTAGAATCTTTCCTACGATATTAACGTTATTCTGCGACTTGAGAATTTTTCTATTAAAAATAAGAAAGTACACGGAGAGAATTTTCTTCTTAGAATTTATCCTGAAAATCATAGTAATCGCGGGACAATATAATATTGGAAGACTTATAAGAGTTTCTTTGATTTATATTTACCATAATAAAAAATATTAAAATGTAAAATTAATTAAACCTTTGAGACAACTATTATTTATTTTTTAATTAAACATATTTTATATCTTATTGAAATATTAATATTTTTTTATTGTGATGAAATATTAATCAGGGAAACTCTTACAAAATTCTTCCACTCTCATATATGTATATTGTCCCACGAATTACCATGATTTTCAGGATAAATTCTAAGAAAAAATTCTCTCTGTGTACGAATCACAAAATGAAAATTTTATTTATATATTAATAGAAAAGAAGTCATTAATTAACATACAACTTTGAATATAAATTGTGGACAAGGGACAAATAATTTAAGATTCTTCTGGCAAGCACACAACGATTCACATAAACTTCACTACTCGCGGCCAACTCGCACGTACCTTTTGAAAGTTGTTGTCGTTATTTATTCTCGGTATAATCGACTACTAGGTACTGCGTTATCCGAATGATTACAGCACGATCGACGTGATGTGCAGTTCCGTGTCGGACAACGGAGGAACGTCTCGCGGTAGTCAATATCGCGGCATCGACGGAACGATTATCGATTGCGTCAGTTCGACACGACTATCCCTCGCTACTGCGACTTTGCGCCGCGAACACGTGCACTCGACGACTGCATATGTCGCGTTGCATTATTGCTGTACCGTACTCGGAACGAAGTCTTCTACGAGCTTCTGTCGACTGCGAGGTATATCGAGCGCGCTCAGTGTGTGTTTGCTGTTATCTAAATAAAATTATATAGATGATTATCTATATTGTAGATGAAACTTTGACGTCATCTTATTTTTATGTAGATAAAAAATATGTATTATATCGATATCTGCATCTTAGATGCAAAGAGTATTATCTTTACTAAATTATCTAGAATAATTTTCAGATAATTTTGGTTTAGAATCATAGCACATAAAAATACTTAAATAGTAGAACTTAAACAGTAAGCGATAAAAATTTATAAAGAAAAATATGAATACATATATTTTTATATCCCTTTTATAATTTATATTTTTTTAAATATAAATGCGTTTACATAAGCAGTCTTAAAAATTATTATCTAGAAAATTATCTTCATGTTATCTAAGATGAATTTACATATTTTTATCTCATCTTTATCTAGCTAATTTTTAAATCATCTAAACACAACATTGAGCTCGCCTTTCGGAGTTCGTCGGTGCAATCGAAGGTGCGATGCACTTCTTCGATGCACCGCATGCAACCCGCGGGAGCTCTCCCGCGTTCTCGGTTATTCTGTCCGCAAAGTGTAACGCGATTCGCCACGCAAAGGATAACTTCTTCTCGTCTTTGTCCTTCGATGACGTTGCGGCCGTGCGGTTTCTAATAGCGACTCTGCTTTTCACGCAGAGATTTTTGTTGCCACTACCCGAGACTGCACGGTGGATTTACGCGCGTCCGACGAATTTCCAGAAAAAAGTGCTCATATACAAGAGAAATTTCTGTCTTATTATTTGCGCTCGTTCAACGCGACACAAAACGTAAGAATTCCGTGCTTTCGAAGATTATAATGCGATTGACAAACGCGATGTAAACTTCACTCACATTAATTATCTTAGATGCGACGTAGCAAATGATTCATCGATGATTCGTTAAAAGTTTCTAGAATGGATTGGCGACGTATATATATATATATATATATATATATATAATAGATAGATAAGAAGTTGCAAGAAGTGAAAGATAAGATCAAATTTATATTCTCGAGATAATGATTGTTTGTTTGTTTGAAAAATTATCATTTATATATATATAAATCATTATCTTGAGAATATAAATTTGCTCTTTCACTTCTTGCAACTTCTTCAAGGTACTGAAAAGTTTAACGTTGACGGATCGTGCAATCGCAAACATTGCTTTCGATTTTGCAGCAAATTCTGTGAATGCATTATCAGGGCAAATTAGCGAAACGCGTCGCGAAGTTTTCGGAGCAGAAAACAATCCGCGACAAGCTACGAAACTATCATTCCGTGATGGAAACTGTCATTCGAAGTACCGCGAAATTCACTGCAGAAGATACACATCGAGCCAGAAGTTCTCGAAGAAACTCACCGATAAATTCATCGTCGATATGTACGTGAGAAGTGCTGATTTTGAAAGAAAGTACTCGGCGAATTTCCTCCAAAAATTCGTCACTCAAAATCGTACTTGAAAAAATACAGAAGAGACTCCAGTCGCGGAATCAAACCGTTACACTGGTCGAGGCTGAACTAAAAGCTTCATATTTGCCTCTTGCCTTATTATATTATTCGCAATAACTCTCGTCGCGATCAACTACACTTATAATAACTACACGTCAACTTTTATCTCGTAACGCCGCTTTTTTGTCAAGCTTTCCTAAACTTTCCCGGATCGCCAGCGCGGCGATCGTCGCCAATTACAGCACCGACTGTTATTGTACGTTTCTGCACGAGGTATGTCTCTTTTTTTTTTTTTTTTGCGAACTGTTGTACATCGCGGAGTGCCGTTATCGCGCACGCGAACACCGCAATTTACGAAGATGGTACACTTCGCGGTACACTGATTGCGTTTTCTTCTGGTGACACCAATCGATACGATATACCGCGCGATATAAAAAGCGCATCCCGGAATTGCCGCGTTGTGAACGCGGAATTTCACCGCGAGATTTCACCAAACGGAGGAGATCGCCGCGTTAATCGCGTCCTTTCATTCGCGCGAAGCCAACAACTGGCAGCGACGTCGCGAGAAGGTAATTGCAGCCCCTTGTGTCTGCAGCACTTCAAGGGGAATCCAGCACTAGCCTCGTACCATTACTATTGCACGAGATTATGCACTGTCACCGTAGATAGAGCGCGATAATCTTTGCACGAGATTCAGACGCGCGGTGAATCGCGATGATCAACCTTGGCATGTATCTCTAAACCACGGAATTTTTTATAAACTTTCATTATTTTTCATCTACCTACTTTGTTTAACTTTCTTATATAGCTATATATATATATATTATTGTACATATATATATATATATATAATTTTATTTTTATTTTATATTTATATATATATAATATATAAATAAAATATATATATATAATTTAAAAAAATATATATAATTAATTTGCGAGAGGGAGAGAGAGACAAACGCAAAGTTACACGTTTAGCTAAACTTCGGGACGAAGGGTTCGGCTTAATTTGCGAGGAATTTGAGCTTACGCTAATAACTTGGGGATTACGTTAGTTCGAGGAGAGTGGCCTTAAGAAACTATAGCAGGAAGACACGAGACTCGAACTTCCTTACTTTAATATTCGCGGATCTGTCATGAATTATGATTTGCAAGGATAATGCGGGATTAAATCTGACAATTCAATTCGCGTCCTGGCGCGAAACGTAATGACAGATCGCATTCATATATATTTCACTCTATATATGTATATATCCATTATATGTATGTATAAATCCGAGATCGTACGTGAGAGTCTAAATGTTTACTAGCTTTTCAAAGCTAACCGCCAACACGTTTCTCAGAGAGAGAGAGAGAGAAGGGAAAGGAAAGGGCCGAGGTCTGAGGAATGATAATTACACGGAGTCTGTAAAAGTCACGATGATGCCGGACGAACATGGTATCGCGCTGATGTATACGTAGGAATGTAATTCGCGAGGTGGAATAAACCGCGGCGCGGGAAATGAACAAACGGATGTAAACATCGAGCGATGGACGGAGACGAATGAGGGGCGCGTTTGCACGCTGCGAAATAAATTGAATTAACATATTAACGGATACGACGAATACAAGAATAGCGCTGGGCGCTCTATCCAATGTTCCGACTTTCTCTTCCGTTGTTCGGGATGAATCGAAAAAATTACGGGATTAAAAGCGCCACGCGTGTATCATAAAATGCGTGTTTTTTTCCCCCGACTCTTTCGATAAATTCGGTTAACTGTTAACTGATTGCGAGAATCGTATTTATTTTTCAGAGGTCACTGCGGGATATTCCGCGGATTAAAAAAAATCATATATACAAGTAAAAATATTCGTTTTCGAAAAAATTTCATATCGGAGCAAAGTTAGTGAATTTCGATTTGTTTAGCTTCTGGACTACTTATATACTTCACAAAGAGATACTCGAAGGAATCCGAATGATATATTTAACGAAGTGTCGTGTAGGTATACGCGGAGTTACGCGGTCAATTGGAATTTAAATCGAGCGTAATAAGCCATCGTTTCAGGCGATGCGAGTCGTGATCTCGTGAGAAGAAGGAAGCTCTTAATCGGCGCTCATTAATTTAATCTCGAATTAAAGACGAGACGGTTTTATTTATATACTCTTTGTCTCTCTCTCTCCAAAAATACATTCGAAATAATTGATCGCGCGAGAAAGAAAAATGTATGTGTCAGCACACATCGAAACCGTTTGACAGATTCTTGGCGCGCAATCTAAACGAGATGAAAAAGCCGAGAGATCCCGCGAAATTTTATTCGTAGAATTTACCGAAAGGGATTTAATACATTTGGGAGAAATGGATGAATTGCGCACCCGCGAGAGTGGATTTATTTAATCCACGAACCCCCTCGGGCAGATTGCGGCAGCTCCACGTGACATATCCAACGTGTAATTGCACAAATGGAGATACGCATCACCGTCGAATCCCACTCTGCGCCATCGACCTCGGTTAACTCTATTGAAAATCGCACTGTTACGTTCGACTTTTCGAATCGGGGGCGCGCGCACGAACCATCCGGCATCGATCCTCTCGATCGCGCTGGCGCGGCAAGACTGGCCGGCATGGATCGGGATCGTGATCGAGGGACAACGACCAGGGACGGCGCAACGCGAGGTTCGCTAAGAAAGCACCATTCGCGAGTATGCGTGGATTTTTTCAGAATTTTCTTAATCATTTTATTTTTTAATCTTAATCTTCATCTTTTTGGAAAGGCTCATTAAATTCTAATGTCGAATCTTGACAGCTCAAACGTCTCATCGGTTGTACTATTATCATATTAATTATTATATAAATAAATATTTATTATAGAAATAATGTGGCAATAATACAACTGATCAGACGTTTGAATTATTAATTTGGCAGCTTGCGTCGACATTAGAATTTAATGAATTTTTCGAAAATTTAAAATGATTAAGATTTAAAAAAAATAAACTAAATTATTAAAATTAAAAAAAAACATACACCTTTTAGATACTTTATTTAAAAGTATACAATATCTGTAAATTTATGAAAATTTTTCTTTATATAAATTATAGAAAATATAAGGATTCATAAATGATTAAATAGTAGAGCATGAGAGATATTTTAGTTAATTAAAATGTATACTAGATCTAAAACTAAAGATTAAAAAATGACATGTATTAATCGTTATAATTTAATCGCTTAATTAAAAGTCTCATTAAGAAGCACACACGAGTGTTATCCGATTTAGATAGCTTAGAATTTAATCTTAAATCAGCTCTCTCTCCTTTTCTTTAATGGCACGTAACGGAAGAATTCAACGCGTTATCGCAACGTTGATTTATTAAGCGGAACCTCTATCCCTTTTCTAATTTACTGCGTGAATTCGTGACTTGTATATATATCGTGAGAGGTACGCGCGATGACGGAAGAGAAAGCCAAAAGTATATATGCGAACATTTTGCTCCATTACGAAGCGTTGCGATGTTAAAGACAGTTGTAATAATGCAATGCGTTATTAATTTCTCAATTTTATTAAAAAAAAATTATATTATTTAAATATTCATTTATAATTTATAGATATATTACAAAAGAAAAAGGCGATTAGAACAATTTTTAGATTTAAAGATGAGGAGAGACTTTTTGAGATATCGACAAAAAATCGTTGCGCTCTCTTTAATTAGTATTTTCATAATCCAATTTTCTCCTTTTTAATTCATCTTATATATATATATCTTCGATTTAATCTAGCCTGTCAATTATCGAAATGTAGCACACGAATCGGTTATACGAGAACGAAATCGAAGAAAGCGAAGTCACAGGTGTGTATTGCAAGAATCGGAAGCCCGGGTGTCTCTTTCTCTCTCAAATATTCTCGATCTCAAATATTCGCGACGACGAGAAGTATATCGTTTAAACGCAAAGTCACTTAGATAGTCACGAGGGAGGAAACGCTGCGATATACTTCTTCCCCAGGAGTGCCCCAGCCATATGTGCCTACATTAGGCACATACCTGTTTACGGTATGCGTGTAGCTGCATCACTACCACCTCTACACGAGAGAGCAGGGTAAGATGCACACGCACGTACGTAAATACGAGCATCTCCCTCATTAAAGGTATATACTCGCGACTGGTTTGGCCCACGGCGTGCACGATTTCGCAGACATGCACGTGCGTGAATACATGCGAATATGCACGATACGCGAAAGTGGCAGGTATATATACGTTGCTTCCTCGCACGTGGTGTGGTCACTAGCTTTTTTGTGGTTTTTTTTTATATAATCCCGGATTTATTTTCACACGGTTCATTAGCGACACATCGTGACACTTCGCCTCCGTTTAATTAAAGGGATGGAAGAAAGCAAAACGGGCGATGCGAAAAATGAACTCTCTCTTCAGGGAGGATGCATTACGCTTATTAACCTCTTTTGTGGGACGGGATATATTTTTAAACTTTTATTAAATTTAAAGAATTTGAGAGACGAACTCTGGACTTTCTTGCGTAATTCGTATAAATTACAGGATAGTTCTCTTTTACGCTTTTTCTCTCTCTCTCGCGTGCACTTAAAATATCATTTTAACCCAAAAGATATCTATTAATCAAATAACGTTCCATTATTATTAATCAGATAATACAATCAGAGTATTCGTCCAATAATATTATTAAGAGAAAGATTCAGTTATCACGAAGCGAAATATCATTTTGAGGATAGGGATGAGAGTTTTAAGGATCGTCACTTCCGTCCAGGTTGATGTTTCTTCATTCTCCCGTCCATCATCTCATTCCAGGAGAATGAAGTTGATGCTTCTCTTGCAGAATCGTCCCTCGTCAGTGGCAAATGTGTCGACAACTTTCGCCTCTCATCCAGGATGAGTTTCCGCTGGCGCCAACATTACGGTGAATCGTCCTACCGGTTTCTCTCGTTCGATCCTAAGGACCTATTGGGTTCCTGCTTTCGGCGAAATAAAATTGTTTTACCGCGCAAACCCGATCCTTGCGATTCGAGAAGCTTCAAAGTAATGGACAACTCGAGAATCGAATCTTATAACAAGTTTGTGTGTTTTAAAGCACCTTATTTCGACGCGTACTCGACCTAATTTTAGTGGCAGAATTTTTTTAGCCGATTTATAATTGAATTTTTCGCGAATTAAAATGTATCGAGGCATTTCGACATAGTTTTCGTATGAATAAATATTGAAAATAAAAATCAGATGCATTTCCGTGTAGACAATAAAGTGTGATGAAATTTCTTATATTTTATTTAA